AATTGGGAGTTGGTAGAGATTCAAGTCCGAAAATATTTTCGATAAACTTTATAAGGATAAATAAGACCTCCAACCGTTTGATTTTACATCTAACGACTTTAGGTGCTTGTGATCTCCGTGTATAAGAGGTAATGATCTCATTGTACCGGCCCCCTAAAGTAAAAATAATGAAGGATATTTTAATCAAGTTTTATGTTGTACCCATGAAATCGACAAAAGGAATCTCCTTATAATATTCAATTAAAATTCAAGCCCCTGAAAACTCATTATTCTAACACTCCCCACATAAATGAATTGGGTGAAAGTTTTATGACATGCCAAAAAGAATTTATCTTTAAATATGTACCGTTTTATCATAAATCTTCTCTGGATTTTAAGAAAACATGTGGTTTGTATAAGTTTGAGACCCTAAACAATCAAATTAAGGTGCGCCTTCAAGTAAAGTCGAAAGATGTAGTTTCAGCACTGAAAATTATGATGGTTTGAAATTTTATTTTCATCTTTGACTATGAAATTTCATGTTTAAAAAATATTATATATTAAGCAGATCTATTAACATTTGAGAATCTTGAAAATTAACGGTCTAGATAATACATTACAAGATGTAGTATTTTTTAGCTAGAAGTCTATTTTTTTTATTTCCATGTATCTCAAGGTTGAAATGGTTGGATTTGAGGGTTTTTAGCATCGAAACAACTTCTTCTACTGAATTTTTGAGATGCGCTTTAATTTGATTGTCTAGGGCCTCAATCTTATATAATTTTTTCCTAAGAAAATTTATGGAGAAAAGCTCCTTCATTACCTTTTGTTAAAATCTCTCAAATCTTTATCAAAAATTTTATTTAAGAAGTTATTATTTTCATGATTTTAAAAGGAAGCAGAAGCATCATTTCAAAACTCACAATTGAGCTACAGATTGTCAAGGTTCGATTTTGACATGCAGACTCAAGCAATTAAGTCGGATCAAGCTACATTTAACCAAAATGAAAAAAATTAGAAAATTGGGACGATTATAGCTTCTCACTCATTTACTAATGCTCATATGCTTTGCCCGATTCTGAGTTAGACTGACGATTTTTAAATCACAAAAAAAAAAAATTAAAATTAAAATAAAATAAAATAAAATAAAATACTTACTATGGCCATAACCAGGTGCTTCTCTATTAATATGGACGACCCCATATGGTGCTGCCCCATTAAAAGCACCGGTCAAACCATGACATTTCAGTAGTCAATCTGCACCGTCTAGCACGCTCTAATTTAATTTCCACCGTCCAATACACGAATGTTGGATTAGTGGACTGAGACACAAAGTACAAATGGTCTTTGTATTATACTCCAATTTCATTTTCTCCTTGACAATAAATAAATAAAAAGGGCAGGTGTTCACATATGTTAGAAAACATTAAATATTAAAAGAAAAAGTGAAGATAATTTAGCATCGAGTGTGAATAGTGGACGTCCTAATTACTAAGTTCCAAACTCTTACGGTACAAGACAAATAAATTACTAATATTTTAGGGCTGATATATTATTATTAATAAGGAGGGCTATATGGCCACCCATGCCTTTAGTACTTGACCCAAAAGAAAACATTGAGTTACATCCAAGATAAAAGATGGCAAGAGTAGGGGTGGCCATGGGTCGGGTATGGCGAGACTTGAATTTCGATTCGGATCTCGACCCGAATAGTATTCAGGTAAAAAATTTGGACCTGTATCCGAACCCATCAAGTCTTGGGTCTATCTATCAAGTCTCGGGTTTGGTTGGATCCATTGCCACCCTATTACTATGAGATTTTTTTTTATCTTTTTTTTTTTAACATCATATACTCTATGATTATGAGAGTCTTTTTTTTTTTTTTCAATTAAGGGGTCGTCACTTGGTGTGAAGGTAAAAAGGCACGGGTAGGTAGCGCAAAAGGTCACTTGCATAAAAAGCCAAAGGTTAGGACCATTTCCAGCCCACCCCTCCCGAGACCCTGTGTAGGTAGGATCAACACCGGGTTACGGGCCTTTTTATTTGAATTAAAATATTACTTATTCTATTTTGATCGTACACTCATAAATATACAAATTTAGGAATAAATAATAAAATTTTTATATTTTTATATTTTATATCAATTAATAATATTGGTAAAAAATAGTTAACATGAATATTCAATTAAAAATAACTTAATAATCAAATGATGCATTTTCAAAAATGTTATTTCAAAGTGAAAATTTATTCAATTATAACTACATTAGATCACCATAATACTAGTTATATATTAAGTGAAAGGAATACTCTCGTTATTGTTGCGCCACATGTCCTTTTTTTTTTTTCTATAATTGCCTTATCCCTCTCTCTCCAATCTCTCTATCTCCCTCTTCCCACACTCTAAAGTTCCTAAAATCCATTGTCTCTCTCCCTCTTTTCAATACCAATTTAAGGTTCCTAAAATTGATACGTGGAAATAAGGTTCTTAAATAGAATGAGCTTATTTAGAAAACATGCTATTTTTTTTTTTTCTCTCCAACAAACTTTATATATCATTATCTAGAAAAAATTGATGCATGAAGATACGATTCCTAAAATTGGTTCATAGAGATCATGACAAAATGATATAGAAAAAAAGATAAATACAAAGAGAGAGATAAATAGAATGAGGTTATTAGGAAACATGCTCTTTCTCTCTCTCCAACAACCTCTTTTTGTCATCATCTAGAAAGAGAGAGATAAATAGAATGAGCTTATTTAGGAAACATGTTTTTTTTTTCTCTCTTTCCAACGAATTTCCTCTATCATTTAAACATGTTGCAATCTATAAATCTTCCTAAATGACTCCCTAGGAAACCTTATCTCCCTTTATTCTTTCCTAAACAACCAGCAAATATGTTTATCTCTTTAAATCGCGTCTCAATAAACTCATCTCCCTCTCAAGTCTCACCTATAGCTCACATATTCGCTTATAGCCTCTAAGCCATCATGGTATTCTTCTTCATATTGGAGGTGACTCCCCTTTCTTCTTCTTTTCATAAATTATTTAAATATCGATTGATTTTTTTAATCTGTTTAATTGTTATGGTTGGGTGTTTCCATGGATAGGTTATAGGTTCATGGAGATGTGACTCTCACATCCTCAATCTTGATCAGCTCACGACAGTGATTAGCATGTTGAAATAAAATAAATCTTGAAATGTCACTTGAAATGATGTACCCGGACCCATTGTTATAAGATGCGTATACTTCCTCAAACGACTCCTCATATTTGACAACCCATTTCCTAGATCGGAGAGGCATGAACAATAGGTTGAGATATAAAGGGATTTTTTTCTAGATCAGAGAGGCTTGTGAAACAGGTTGAGGTTACCCAATTCACTCTCTCAAACATTTATCAAACAAACCGATTCTCTCTCTCTCTCGAACATTCATCAAACAATGAAACAAAGAAAAAATCAAAGTATAAAGCACAAAAACAAAGAAATATGTTCTCATTTGTAAAGGAATCCATTAATGTTCTCAAACACAATTCTCTCTCTAACCCCTCAGTAAGAGTCTCAATAAGTACATAAAAACAAAGAAACTATATTACACAATATCATTTATATTCATGGATCACGGAAAAACAGACCTAAACTGAAAGAAAACTCGTAATTAAAAAAAAAAAACCAAAAAGATCACATAAGAAAACAAAGTTTACCGTACCACTCAGAGTTATATTGTAAATGTGGTCAATATTATGACAATGTGAATACCTAGTATGCATCGAAATACACATAATTGCTATCATATACCTTATGACTACGGGTCCAGCTGCATCGGGACTGGACTCAAATGATATTCGGGTCCAAAATTTGGGCCCATACCCAGACCCGAGGTCGGGTATACCCATCGAGTCTCAGGTCTAGTCGGGTCCGTTGTGCAGTTATAAGAATCGAATTTAAGATGTAACAGCTAAAGTTAAGCTGCTAACCAATCAAGCCAAAGCCCAATTCTCAATGGTTGCCCAATTTTTTAATAATCCATCCATCAATGCACCCAATATCACATGGGCACATCTATTGTGCTCTAGTGGGAGCATAATGTCACTTGATCCCGTGAGTTAAATAGGTAGTATGATTTTTTTGGTCTTGAAATATTGGGATCCACTAAAGAAATCACCAAATGATCATATAAGAAGCTACATGTTGAGTTCTTTAACACTTTGATTTGGTTGTCCAAAAAAAGGGCGGCCTATCTTCGATTTTTGGACATTGTCTTTTTTAGGCCCATGGAGTATGCATTTGATTTTCTTTTCTTCCCCTTCTTTCTTTTTTTTTTTTGTTTGAAAGTTGGTTGCTAGGTTGAAGAGAATACATCCTCAAATTTAGAGTGCTAAAAATACTCATTTATTGAGGTTTATCAAATCGGTATGTAATCTCCTAGCATGTTGTGGGTGGCAAAATCAAAATTTGTTGCAGATATTTAAAAGGTGAGTAGCCCAATAGCATTATCAAGCTCAATTTTGACGATAGCTAATAAAAGAAACCCATAGCTAATAGGTACATAAGGCACAATCACCCTAGGCCCTTTTTTGGTCCATATGGGAGCATCCAAAGCCATGCTATATATTTTTTTAAAATTTTCTATATTGTCGAATGTAACTTAGAATCAATTTAGTAAATATCAGATTCAAACCCCACAATTTGGATTAAGAATTGTTGATCCAGATCTAGATAAAGAACCACACAATAAGAGATCCAAGTTGCCCTATAATTCTCAAATATTAATATCATACTACTATTTTCTACCAATTTTTTTTTTCCAATTTGGCCAATATGGATCGCCAATATACCCGTCCAGATCGGTCTAGTGGAGAGGGGATCCACCCAGCCTATTAGGGTTTTAAAACACTTGCTCATGGGTTTTAAAACAAATAATGGGTGGATTACTAAATATATTAGTGGCAAACTTGCCCCATGAATAATCCATGGAATGAGTAAATAAATGAGTCCAAAAAGAAAACCAGGACAAAAAAAAAATGAAAATTTCTTATCTATTTTTGGTCTGACAGGAGGTGCAAGAGAATGAACTGGCATAGAGCTTCCACTCATGGAAATAAAAGCCTTCCATGAAAATAAAAATAAAAAAGCACCCATGGCCTTCCTCCCCTTTTTATTACCAGAGAAAGAAGAAGCAGAGAGATCTCTCAACATTTCAATAACCACATTACCTGTAATTATAAATACCTTCATAACTCTTCTTTGGATCTCATTCTGTAAATTTGCATGAAGACTTGAGGCCTCGCAAGATTCTCCTCATAACCAGGTACATTTATTTATTTATTTATTTTTCTTTATGGGTTTTTGGGTGTTCGCTTGCTTTCTGGGAATGGGGTTTGTTCGAATGATTGAATTTTATTGAATTACTGGGGATTTTATATGATTTTCAGGGTTTTTCTGAAGCGTATTCTGATTCAGTAATTCTAGGGTTTTTTGGGGCTGGAAAATGTAGGTTCTATAATTTTTAAAAAAAAATTGTCTTAAAACTGGGAAGATTCTGGAAACTTCTTCAGTCTTTAAAAGAATGTGTTGTGGCAAGGTCTTTTATTTTTCATGAAAATATTTTTTTAGATTTTTTTTTTGGTGTTTTGATTCTTTTGCTGAAGAATAGTAGCTAACTACATTTCCACATTTTGTAGATTTATATGTGAATTATAGGGTTCTCTGCTATTTTTTTGCTTGCTATTATGATGATTTGTTTTGGAAATGTGGAAATGCTTCTCCTTTTGCTGCAGGAGCTAATGCATCGTTCAACATCTAGGGTTTTTGCTTCCATTTTTTTTTATGAGTTACTGTTAATAGTGTACGTTTCTCTCACTATCTGCAAAGTGCCGCGAAATTAGACACTTCGGGTTCAGTATTGAGAGATTATGTGGTTATAGGCCAATGTAGCCCGTTCTTTTTATTCTCTTCCTTTTCAGGATCTCTGAAATGTTTGACAGTTGTATTTGGAGCCAATAATTTTGGATTTCTATGGCCTTAGATCTAGCGTAACTTCTTTTTTATTTTATTTTTTTAAGAATTTTATTATCTCTCAGTTTTCTACATTTTATTTTTATTTTTTTGAAAGGATGGCTGGGAAGACATAATTTTGGCATTCCAGCTATGAGTTTAGTGATTTCTTGAAAGAATTTCTCCAATTACTGGCGAATCACATATTTCTTATCTGGAAAGTATACACCAGTGTTTCAGGCCTCGCGGAGTCCACTCGGACTCGCCCTGGACCTATGGCTGAGGCTAGTCCCAGGGCCAACTTGTCCCCCATTTAAAATGATTAAAAATGCGTAATTTTTGTTAGAAAATCTTAATAACCTTTTTAGATCATTTATATGGTTTTCAAATGATTTGGGAAGTTTTCTCTCAACATGCGCCGACTTTTATTTTTGTCATTTTTGTTTCATTTTTCTGAATATTTAAAGTATAAGTAAAAAATTACAATAATCCATCTTCTATGTACTCTTTTGGACTTTTCATGGACTTCTAATTAGTTCTATTACTTATTTTACTTTTTCCTAGTTTAAGCAATTTTTTTACATTTTTTTGAACACTTTTTGTGCTGTACACTGCTAAGCCGAGTCCCCTCAGACTCTTCCGAGTTACTCGGCTTGCGCCAGCGCTGAGTCCAATGCTCATGCCAAGTTCAAAAACATTGGTATGTACTTAAATAAAATCGATTGTTTTTTTAATTAGAGATGCATGTACCATATGTGATATCAATGTCAGTTTCCTGTTTTCCCAAAAAGTTCGACAATGTGTTTTTGATGTTGGAAATCAGCTTACATTAAATACCATTTCATTGTCTAATCTGAACAATCAAGAAAGTTTCCAGAACTACTTACAATTTGAAAAAGTTTTTCTTGGCTTTCTCTTTGTTTTCCCTTTTCTTTTGATTATATAAACTCTGTTACACGGTTGAACATAAGAGCGGTCACTTTTTTATAACCTTTCTAAAGGAGATGGGATATCTAAGTGACTGGCTGATATTGCGGGTCTCTGTTTGCAGTGGCGACTTGGCATGAGACTTTCATGGGAGAATGTCCATGCACCTGGTTGATGGTGGGGAAGAACAATAGCTTTGGAGGATTCTCCCTGTAAATAATAAGCATTATCAGTAAAAAAGAAAGAAGCAAAGCATCCATCTTGGCTAGAACTGAAGGCTTACCGCTCTGATATTGGACATGGAAATGTGAATCGTGTGTGGTACTGTCAGTGACTAATTCGGTCAGGATTTTCTCTATGTTTGTTGGTTTTAACATGAAAGGATGCGTAAGGAGCAAACTTTGAGAAGATAGTAACAGTCAAAAGCTTTCCTAAGCAATTGGATGGACAAATGATCATGCTAACAGTACAGTAAGCATTTAGATTTCAAAGGAGAAGCAGGGAACTACTGCAACTTGGGGCAGTTAACTTCATCTCCATCAGAGAAAAATATATGGTATTTTTACTTTAGGAGCTAAATTCCAAATGAGGTTCATGTGCTGTGGCTTTTATTTCAGGTCCTTGTCATGTTATGCCCCATACGCAGATTTCAATCTGAGACTATTCTCAACATCTGCCTTCTGATTGGCTTAAATTGATAGTAGAGCTCTTTAATGGAGTTTATCTCGAGTTTGAACAATCTAAATATTTTTATCTTGGTCGCTCTTGTTCTTTTGTTTTCTGAATCTGATGCCCAAGAGCCTGGGGCCTATAATGAAACTAGTCAATCATTGGATTCTCTTCTTCAGGATTATGCATACAAAGCTTTCATTAGACCTCGTACTGGTGTAGTCTATACGGCATCTGTTCCCCAAAATATATCGGGTGTGAAATTGGAAGCAGTTAGGCTTAGGCATGGGAGCTTTTGGAGAAAAGGTATCAATTATAACGAGTTTCAGATCCCAGCTGGAGTTAGAGTTTTGCCTTATGTGCAAAGATTTGCTTTAATTTACCAAAATCTGGGCAATTGGTCTGCTATTTATTACAGTGTGCCTGGCCATACTCTCATTTCTCCTGTTTTGGGTCTTCTTGCTTATGATGCATCGAATCTCACTGCCATCAATCTGCCAGTTCTCCAACTAAATGCCAGTAAAGAACCCATTTCTATAGAATTTGGGGGATTAAAAGTACCTAACGGAATGGTTCCCAAGTGTGTTTGGTTTGATTTAAATGGTTCTGTAAAGCTCACTGATTTGTTACCACGTAATATGTGCTCAACTTCCCAGCAAGGGCACTTTTCTGTTGTTGTTGAGTCTAATGCTCAAGCTCCATCTCCTACTCCTGCAAAGGCTCCCCCAACTCCAATTGAGCCTCCAAGGGCTAGTACTCATAAGAAGGGCACTTCAAACGTTTGGAAAATCACTGTTGCTTCAGTTATTGGTGGGCTTGTGATAATTAGTCTCTTCTGTTTTCTTGTTATTGGGTTGTTAAGATATCAAAAGAAATCAAAGTTTGCAGCGATGGAAAGGTATGCTGATCAAGGTGAAGCCTTGCACATGGCCACTGTGGGAAATACTAAGGCACCAGCTGCCCCTGGGACCCGAACACAACCAGTTTTGGAGCATGAATATGTGGCCTGATGGCAATGATATTCATGCCGATGCATGTGTCCTGCTCAAGGAGATTGGTACTTTTCAATGTGCCTCTCGCTGTTTGAGCTCCTAATTTATTCCTTTCAGGGGATTGTATGGTTTATCATTGATTCAACCCTGGAAAAAATTGTTGAGGTTTTATTTTCTTGGTGAAATTTAGATGGTTTCATCAAAGAGGGAAAAAAAGAAGATGGCAGTTTGGTTGTAATTGACCGAACGTATTTGACTTCTTGTGATTGGGTTATTTTAGAGAAATTGTTTGATTCAGCAGAAGGCCTCAGGTGATCTGTCATTTTTCCTTTGATGCCTACTTTTCCAATTTTGAAAGAAGAGAACGAACCATATTCCGATTTGTGTATTTCCTTGCTTATCTGTTTCTAGAATTCATTCTCGACTGCTCTATGCAATTTATCATTTCCATCATGAGTTCATGTCCACATCGGGTTTGGCATGCTGCATTATGTGATGAAGTTTTCGTATCACGTTTGTTACTTTTGATAAGTGATACCTTTTTTTTTTGGTTATTTTTTTTGTTTTAGTGGGTAGTACAACATCTATAAATCCCACGAAGTGCTACAGGCTTAGCATTTCAAATATTGAAGCGAGTTCCAATAGTTCAGCTGTGAACTTGTGGACCACAACCATCATTTATTTTATGCCTCTCCCTTGAAAACCATATTAGTAATTTTTTGGGAAATTTGTCAAACTACAAAGGTTTGAACTATTTAAGATCTTGTGCATATTTTTTGTTCTAGTTTCAAAGAGCTCATCCTTCTTTAAATCAAATTTCAACTAGACATCAAATCACACATACACATAGGTTTTGAAAGTTATCAAATTACATCTCAGATAAAATGTTAAATAACTTTAATTGTTAGGCGTATTTCGATAAATTTCCCTTATTTTTCTCATGTACACTTTTTCTCCTGTAGCCCACCAATGTTGAATTAATTAGAGGGGACTCCGAAGATCAGCCCCCTTTCTAAGGAAGACCCAACCAAACTTAAGCTTAGTAGATGGATGAGTACCCTACTTGCACTGTGTTGTAGATAATGTGTAAGCTGTTAGCTCTGAGGGAAAGTATTTAAGCTAAAAGGACAATGGATAAATCGTTTTGCATTTGTTGTGCCTCTTCATCTGGACTAAATTCCTTAAAGATGTACATGTCCATGTGATCATGCCATATACGCAGTCGATTTTATTTATTTCAATGACAGTCTTTGGATGCTTCCTCTCATACAAGTATTAAACTCAGTTTGTATGCTAGGGCCTTAGCAAATAATTTTTCCTTCATTTTCTTTCTTCCACCTTGTAATGTAGGATCCTTATAATAACGTTGCTGTGCATGTATGGGATTAAGCTAAAATAAGATTTATGTTTTTTTCTCAAATTATAAAACATCATTTAATTTTTTATTCATAAGATTCCTTTAATTTTTCATTTTTGACTTCTGAGTGAGAATAAGGAGTTCATTCTTATGACACCTATTGATCATTTAATTATGAAATTTTTTTTTTTAACAATTTGGTTGGCTTTAAAATATAAGATTAAAAATGAATTTTATATTAGAAATGAATCTTATTGTTTTTACAGTTGACTTCAAATTTTTTTTAGTTATTTCCTTTTATTATTATCTTTTCTTTGTACAGGTATTAGTGCTTAGATAAGGAAAGAAAGCCAATATATAGTTAGAAACCAGGCCAAAATTTCAATCTCCGGTGTCTCTTTCAAAAGAGAAGGTGCTTCATTGCTGAGATTTAGGGTTCAACTTTTTTCATCATTTTGAGACGTCTATGGTCTGGGTTGCAGCAAAAGTCTTGAATTTTATACATAAGTTGGGCATATTTCAGTTTTGGAAGATGATTTAATTGGGAAACAAATGGGAAGAAAATAAGAAGTGTAATTCGGTCTGATTCTGGACTGGAAACCTATTTTATACATAAGTTGGGCATATTTCAGTTTTGGAAGATGATTTAATTGGGAAACAAATGGGAAGAAAATAAGAAGTGTAATTCGGTCTGATTCTGGACTGAAAACCTTGGAATGTGTTTCCTTTCTTTTTTGGGGAAATGAAAAAAGAGGGGTAGGTTTGTATGATCCGGCAAATGGTCCCATCTTTCTAAATCCAAATGTTCCTATTCGGATATATGGATAAACATGTAAATGTCAGAAATGTTAATTTCAAAATTAATCTTCTAAACACAAGATGTCCGTGTGCTTAAAAAAAAAATTAAAAATATCGTTATTGCCAGGGTTGCCTCGAATACAGGGGCTTGTCTTTGATGTGTCAATGTACATAAAAAATTACGAACATCATGCTGCATAGGCTCCCATTCAAATATGAGAGTAAATTACTAAAGGAAACATGATTAATCTGCACTGTGTCATTGAAAAATGATAATAGATGACCTCTCTGTGAACTACGCAGTGTTAGAAAGTGCGACTCAGGCCGAGTAATCGGTCCTGCTCCGATCTGATTACTTGGACCGAGTCCGCATAACTTGGCTGATTAGTTTTGTACTGTAGCAACAAAAAAAGTAGTACAAATATAGATTTTAAAAAATCAACTTGGCATTTTTGAAAGAATAAAAAAAAGATGATAAAAATGTAAAAAATAAGTATTTATAGCCAAAACAATATTTGCCAAAATGATAAAAAAATATAAAGAAACAATATCCTAAATAAATTGCTTATTTTTTAGGGATTTTTATTATCTTTTAAAATTTCAATATCTTTGAGTCAGACACCCAATTCGGGGTCAGCCAGGCTGAGAGCCCGAGTAACTCGGCTAAGTAGAAACTAGTGTTCAAAATCAAGATCGGGCGATCTCGAGTTGTCTAGATTGTGACGGTCATGTATTATGAAATTTTTTTCAGTGCACTAGTCGGCCTACCAATCAGTACTAATCGATACTCTGCCGATTTTTCAATCACGGGTACCCACGAAAGACATACTCTCTCTTGGTAGACACTGATTCCTGATCAAAAGTGGGTTCTAGCTTTCCAAGTTGACCGTTGAGAAAGAAAAGGAGTGCTAAAGGTGTTTCAAATTTATAGAGAGACGAAGCCTCACTTGTACAGAGAGAGCTGTTGTCAACAATTAGTTTGCCTATATACTATATGAAAAGTGGACAGTAAGCTTGAAAATAGCTTGAAAATATAGGTTACAAGTGAGGGTATCGGAAAATCTTCCAATTATCATCTCGATTTCTAAACGAAAATATAATAACAATTTCAAGTTTTAAATTGGTATTCTTGTAAGATATATTATCTTGACCGTTTCTTTTTTAGTATTTTCAAATATTTATAAATAGATTTGAATTGCATATCTTTAAATTTTATAATCAGTCATAGAAATAGATTTTCAAATCGATATAAGGCTTTCAACATTGAAATTGTGCTTTTTAGGAAATAGATTTTTGAGTCATTATAAGATTTTCGATACCGAAATTGCATCTTCCGACAGAACTTAAAAATACGCCTTACTTTGATTGTTTAAAGTAAATCACAACGAGAATCCCATGCGCATCCTAGGGCATTGGATAAACACAAGTTTCATTCCTCGATACCACGAGAGAATTTTATAGACCGAAAGAAAAAGGAAGATTCCTCGTTCTCTTTTTACTGGAATCAAACGTTCACTTGTTTGACTCGAATGATTCCTTGTGTCTATTCAAAGACATTCTTACAGCCACCCATTTTGAAATGGGTATGGTTTCTATAAGGTTGCAACCTTAAACAATCCAATTAAGCTGTACATCCAAATTTTATTGTAACATGTAATTTTGGTATAAAGAATTCTTGGGAATATCTGAAAATCTATTTTCATATCTATTTATAAAATTTTTAACTAAAAAATGATTAAAATCAAGTAGATCTATAAACATATGAAAATGAGCCATCTAGATAATGTGTTACAAGATACAATATTTCTGGGACTCAAAATCATTTAGTTTTCCATATTTATACATCTCGATGTCGAGATGATTAATTAGATGGTTTTTCAACATTAAAACAGCCTTTTTCGATAGATTTTTGAGGTACATCTTTAATTCTACATTTTAAGATTTGTAACGTTATAAAAACTTTTATAATAATGATTATGACCTCCATATACAAAAGCGAGAGGAAAAAATTTATATTAGGTTGTAACATATTTAAGGTGCACCTCAAAAATCTATTGAAAAAGGCTGGATTAATATTGAAAAACCCTATAATTGATCATCTCGATATCGAGATGTATGAATATGAAAAAATAAAAAATAAAAAATAAAAAAAAGATTTCGAGACCAAAAAATAGTGCATCTTGCGACGCATTATATGGACCATCCATTTTCAATATTTTTATATATCTATAGATCTACTTGATTTGAATTATTTTTGGAGTTTAAACTTTAATTATTAGATATGAAAATAGATTTTTAGGCGATCCAAAGAATTTTTTACACTAAAATTACATATTATGATAAAATTTGAAGGTGCGCCCTAATTTGATTGGTAAATATTGCAACCTTATACAAACTACACCAAAAAAATAAATGGTATCTTGGTAGACCATCCTTGCTTTAAATTCATAAATCATCCGACCGAAAGTGAGAATATAGCATCTCAAGGTTCTCAATTTTAAGTTTAAACCGTGTGAAAGTGTTAGGCTCTCTATACTTTTCTTCATAAATACACACTATTTGTGCATTTCCAAATAAACATTTTTGGAAAAATCACAAATAACCTCCAAGACTAGACTTTCTATACAAGTTATCCCCAACCAAATTTTTTTCTCACTTTTTTCTCTAAAATATAATTTGTTAGCAAATACCCCTACAACCCAAAAAAAAAAAAAGTCTAAACTACCCTCCCTTAGTTTTACCCACGCCTCTCTTTCCTCTTCCCACGAAAAGGCAGCCCAACATATTCCTAGGGCGGTCTGGCATATTCTTAGGGCGGTCTGGCATTGTAATATCAGTCTGGTAAATAACAATAGCGGTTCGGCAGTACAAGTGGTGGTCTGGCACTGCCAAAGAACGGTCTGACTATAAGCCCATGCTGTCCCGCAACAGGCCCATGCGGTCCAAGAACAGGCCCAAAGTGCATTCCGGCAATGTTAAAGAGCGGTTCGGCAGCCCACGTAAGCCCACATGAATGTCTGGCCAAAATTAAATTTTTATGTACAAAAAAGAGCATTTTTATCAAAAAATGTATCTTTTTTTTTTTTACTTGAGAGGGGGGGGTATCTTTTTTTTTTCTCCTTGAGAGGGGGGGTATTTGCTAGAAAGTATTTTGAGGGAAAAAGTGAAACCGAGGTTTTATTGAGGGTTGCTTGCATAAAAAGTCAAGTCGTGGGGTTATTTGTAATTTTGATGCTTATTTCAATACTATCTGGTCGGTCATCTCTGTTGTTCTTAAACCTACTTGAAAAATGCTGAATCAGGCTCGGGTGAAAATTGCAGCATCGAGCCCAGAAATGGTGAATTTGGTAGGGTAAAAACTACAAAATCATGTTCGGAAACTTCGGATTCTCCCGAGTCCGTTGACTAGTTTGAGAGGAACCCCAAAAATCAGATTTTTACCCCAACCAACAATTGCTGATGTATTTCTTTTTCAGGCTACGTCTGGTTGCCACACGCTCGTGAATAAAACCAAGTCCAATTTTTAAACAACCTAAGACTAACTCTAGGTTTGCCAACTAGGGCTAGGGCCGGTCTTACCTTGAACTCAAGTAAGGGAAGGCCGGCCCGAACTTGGTCAAGACTTAGGCGAAGAAGTTTGATTGAGGTCTAGTCAGAGTCGAACTTAATCGGCAGTATCATAGCCCTAGCCATATCAGCCTTCAAGCCACATTTTGTAGCCAAGTATTAATGTCAGTGATTTAAAAAACGTCGAATCGACACGATCGGTCAATTTGGGAATCAGTAAGCCCGTGTCATTTATGTCAATATATTGAATGAAACTATAACCCCCAACTCTATGTTCTCTCTCTATCTCAAGATAATCTCTCTCTAGAATGAGACTATAATGCCAACAACACCAAAGAATTGTGCACGAGATCTCCCAATTGGGTTATCTAAAAAATAGGTAATAATTGAAGCCACAGGCGTCGCCACTCCCATCACCACCATGCTCAAACACCAAACTCTTTTGCCCCTAGTATTTCATCCCAAGACCCACAAGAACAACAACCAGATCAACATCAACGGGCAGCAACAACAACAACATGTAAACCGCTATGTCTTCGCGGCTGCGACCCCTTACCCACCACCCCAATTCCCAAACCCTATGGTGTGAGGCCTCCGAATATGCCCCATGGTCCCACCTCTTGGGTGGAGCACCAAAAGGCGATTACCATAAGGAACGATGTTAATTTGAAGAAGGAGATTATGAAGATTGAGCTTGATAAGGAACCACCTAGGTTGTGAGAGGTTACAGGGAAGAGAGAGAGAGGGGATTGGAGAAATACATGCAGATAGATTGAGAGACATCGGAAGAAAGGGAAAGAGAGAAGTTTGTGGTATATAAGTGAAGAGAGAGAAATGATTGAATTTAGAAAGAGCATATCCATCTTACCTTTGTTAAGGTTAAAAGATAGGTTTAAAGTGGCGGAGGCTAAAAAAAATAAAAAAATTAATTCCATATCTTGCATTTTTTAAACTCATTTATCAAGAAACCCAAGTTTTAAAACTTTTCTAAGATCATAGGGCTGAAAATTTTTTATCTTCAAGCCCTCTAGACCTAATAACTTTTTTTACTAGATAAGTGATCCAAACGACTCATAAAATGATACCTTTTTTCTTACACTCCATCCATAACAAAGAATTCCCGTACAATTTTCTGGGTACATTCAGGAAAAAGGATGCCGGAGGAAAATTGGAGGAGTTTGACATGGATGAGCTCTGTTTTGCCTCTGTTCATCCATCTCCCCCCTTCTTCATTGTCTCTGAAGTCTTCTTCTCCATCTTCTCGCTCTACCGTGAATTGGTCTCTTCGTCAAGCACTAAATACCGTTTGAGGTTTAACCAAATTGGTAAATGGTAATGGATGACTAAATTTCAGGGGAGCAGGTGAGTGAGGAGAAATAAGGGATTGTTGCAGTGGTTTTTTTTGTTTTGATTTTGGACTTCTCTCCATTAGAGCCCATGGTTATAGTCTAAAGCCCATAGGAAATTGTTTTTCTCTATCATTTTCTTGTTTAATTTCTCTCTCATTTTGAGTCTATGTTAATCTATGGGGAATTAAAAACAGATTTATCTCTCCTCCCATTGTTTTGTGTTTTTGATAAGATTTTCATTTGAGTTATAGGTTGTTGGTCATATATGAAACCCCAGGTATCTTCTTTCATGGAAATCATGTCTCTCTCTGTCTCTCTGTCTTTTCTATCTCTTCTGGAAATTTTGTTCCTGGTTCTGAACTGATGGTTTGTTTTTATCTGATTAAGCTGATGGTTTGAAGGTCTCTTCTTCCTTTAAGTCCATTTCCATTTGGTTCGGAGAATTTTCCTCTCGCACTCTCTCCTGGTAATTATCTGGTGTCGCTGTGTATGCATCTTCAGAAGATTGTGCACCGAGCAAGACAATAAATACAAAGGGAGAGGTCTCCACTGCCAGAAAATTGGCCGGAATTTTGAATAAGGAGATTTCTGGAGCCAGATTCCGACAGGGGCAGCAAAGCACGATTGGTGAAACAATAGAAGAGTTGGTTTTAGTGGAAAACACTATGGATTATGAACCAGAGAAGCCTGAAATTTCCATTAAAATCCAGTTGGGTGGGGTATGAGAGTTGTAAAGAGAAAAAAACGATCAGTGACGTGACCCGAAAATAGCAAAAACTGGTGGTTTATAGTGAAATATAGAGAATGGGGCGAGCAAAAAAAGAGGAAGATTTAGAGAGCAATACAGGGAACCACAAAGATAGAGAGAGACACGTATTGCGTGGCTGGAAAATAGCAAAAATAGTGGTTTATGATCGAAAACAAGGGGCCAAAACGAGGTAATTTGGACTGATCTGAGGAGGCTGGAAAGGAAATTGAATACAAGTGTGGGTGGAGTTTGTTGGTGGCGACGGAGGTTGGTGGTGGCAGAGGTCCAAGGTTATGATCCTGGAGAGAAGGGGGTTACAAAGAAAGAGAGATGTTAAGATGGAAAAAGAAAAATGTGTCGCTATCTTTTTGGACCAATAATATAGGTCAAATGGCGTTATTTGGGTCAAAAACTTGGAAGATACAAAAGTTTGGAACGTTTTCTGATAAACGAGTTCAAAAAAAGAAAAACTTGTAAAAATCCTCTCAAAATCGATTTTTTATATACTTTATCCACCCGACTTTTTTTTTTTAACAATTTTTTTTAAAAAAAATCATATTTTTTAGCAAATATCCCCCAAACAAAAAGTATATATATATTTTTTTGACGAAAATACCTTTTTTTCATATGACTAATCATTTTGGATCCTAATAAAAGAAAACATCTACACTGGTACAATGCATGACTGCTCACTTCAAAACACTGGACCGCTAGTTCAAAACGCCGGACGATGATAAGTAATTGGTCCGAGAGGATGTTCAGCCACATTGGGACTGAGACACGGCCCAGACTCTTATGGGAGGCAGCAGTGGGGAATTTTTCGCAGTGGGCGAAAGCCTGACGGAGTAATGCCGCATGGAGATAGAAGGCCCACGGGTCTTGAACTTCTATTCTCGGAGAAGAAGCAATGACGGTATCCAAGGAATAAGCATCGGCTAACTCTGTGCCAACAGCCACGGTAAGACAGAGGATGCAAACGTTGATTTAGATGATTCTAAAGGTTTATTATTTGTTTGTTTTTGTTGTTGTTTGTTGCACAAAAAAAACAGATTTACGTAAAGAAAAAGCTTTTATTGCGGTTTTATATTCCTTTCTCTTCCAATAGTTTCTACAAATATGCTTTTTAAACACCGGATAGCCATATCAGACTGCCCTTCAAAACGACGGACCGCAATTTCAAAATGCCGAACCGCCCATTCTAGGAAAATAATTGGTTAAGTCCGAGAAGGGTATTGTCTACAACTTCAAAATGCCGCACCGTTCATTAAAATGCCGAACCGCCCTATTTTAGGAAAATAATTAGTTAGATAAGAGAAGGGTATTTTCTATAATTTCAAAATGCCGGACCGCTCATTCTAGGAAAATAATTTGTTAGGTAAGAGAGGGGTATTTTTGTTCAAAAAAAATGAACAGTACTTGCTAAGAAAAGTTGGATAGGTAAATTGCGTAAAAAGTCTATTTTTTAAAAGGTTTATTATTATTTTTTTAAAAAAAGAGTAGTGATCATATACGACCTTCTTCTACCATGTGTATAGTACTTTAAAACATCACTATTAAATTTGATAGAGATCTTTAAAAAAGTTATCACATGAATGTAAGATTTAATTTTTTTTTGAGATTTATATCAAATTTATCGTATTCTCGGTAGAAAAAAAGGTTAGAGGATCATTTTTAAAAAAATAATTGGGGGTACGGATTAATTTTCCCTAAAAAATATATGAGAATACGAAGATATTTTCGTTTGCTCAAGGTTCATTAATGCGCCCGACGTTTTCTTTGCGCTATTGTATGGGGTAAAACAACAAACTTCATGGAAATATAAACGTGTTTTGCGTCATTGAACTCAGAATCGAAAGGCCCCCGTGCTTAACTTCTTCTGCTTTTCGTTGGAGGACCTCCAACAGAACAATTGTCGCTCTGCCGGACACGTGGCAACCACACACTCCTGTTATGCCACGTGGCAAATGGTGCATGTCTACTGTACCTATTCTCCCTCCCCTTATCGCATCTCTCTCAATACATACTGTGTAGCTGCTGCTTTCATTTCGATTCTCTCTCTCTACTTTTACGCACTTCCCTGCTTTTCATTTACAATCTCTCTCTCTCTCTCTCTCTCTACTTTCATCTTTCTCTTCTTCCTCTGCTCTCATCTACTCTCTTCTTTCCTTTTCTTTTTTTCTTTTTTTTTTTTTTTGTCTGTTTTTTCCCTTCCATTTTTCCAGGTATTCCTTTTACCATTGCTCTTCTGCACCTCTTCGTCTTATGTCACTTCTCTCTCGTGTTTTCGTGTGCTTATTATTGTCATAACAGGTGTTCATTTCGGAAGTGGTTAAATGGAAGTACCAGTGGGCTTCCTTTCTACCCTATGGAGCTTCCTCTCATTTTTGCCCTTCTTCTTTTTACTCTTACTCCTCGGCCTCATTAAAGGTATTGCTATTTTTCCCCTTTTCTATCTGATTCCATTTTTAACTCTTTCAGCTTGAAATTAAATGCCAAAATCCATTTATTTGCAACCAACAGATCCAGTTCTCTCTTTCTCTATTTAATGGCGTTTTACTTCTTCGTTTCTAATCATTTCTTGTTTGGGATTTCAATCGTTATGCCTTTTTAAAGTTCGATATCTCTTTCTTACATAGCTTAAGGTCACATCTGTAATGCTTATTTGAGATGTAAGCATGGCCCGGATTATACTCTTCTAAATGTATATTCCAGCTTTTCGACACGGAGATTGTATTCTTAGTTCTGAAGCATTGATTACTGGTCGTTTGATATTCATGAATCGTGATGGCAATTGAGCATCTGTGTCTTTTGTACTTCTTTTCCTAATTTTCGATTCCCTTTTGTAATTTCCTGAATCTACAAGAAGTTGTATTCATGTCTCAATAGATTATTGTTTTTGCTAATTCTATTTAAGTTATACTTATATAATTAGTAATTAGATAAACGAGGTGGTCGTGTGCATGCGCGCACTAACTCGGCATACATACATGCTCATGCTACACACATGTGTAAGTGGGTTGATACTTAGATTAATAAGACATATGTGTGCATAATTACGTATAAACACATGCTCATATGTAAACAAATCTACTATTCTCCACATTTCTAAGCTTAAACCGCCTAACCTCCTGCACCTTCTCCAAAATTTCTCGTTTTTCGACCTAAGTCTCCATGGTACATCGTACTCATTCTGCTTAGAACCATAAACTGGTGTTTTCTCCAAAATTTCTCTTTTTCGACCTAAATCTCCATGGTACATCGTACTCATTCGGCTTAGAACCATAAACTGGTGTTTGATAGATAATCAAAGAAATTGATAGCAGAAAATGCCTTCAAATTGAACCTCTCGATCACGACTTGCCCTGAATCAATGAGTCAGCTTAGAAATCAACAAGTGGACTTGGATTGGCAGGTGTTCGAGTATGCACCTGATTACTGTTTATCTAAACATTTATAGTAACATGCACTGCATATGCTATTTAGATACGTGCTCCTATATGTATATATGTGTTTCCAGTGATTTGTCTATGATTGTGTGTGCACATAATTTCGCGTGCAAGTAGGAAAAGAACTGTTTATATAGTATCTCATTTTTCCTTTTTATCCAGCTGCTATTTTTGGACCCCTGGTGGTGATTGTCATTCTTCTTGGAAATTCAGCAGTTATATTGGGCCTATGGCCAGCACATTGCATATGGACATATTACTCCATTATAAGGTATGTTTATATCATCCAATCAGGATGGGGTCCTAAAATTCTGCATCCACTCTATCATACGTGAACTAGGATTGCTTGTATTTTTTCTTTTTTTTTGGTCGAATTTTTACCCCATTCCTTTGTTTCCTAAGTACTTCTCTTTGATGTTTATATGCGGACTGGCAGAACTAAGAGGTTTGGTTTGACTCTGAAGATTTTTATTCTGCTCTCTCTACTGGTACCTTTGGTTTTGTGGCCAATATTTGGGATTATTGGAAGTCTTCTTGTGGGAATAGGCTATGGAATATTTGCTCCTCTCTCGGCAACTTTTGAGGCCATAGGGGAAGAGAAATTCAGTGAAAAGCTCTATCATTGCTTTGTGGTATGCTATGTATTGCTTATTTATCATGAGCTTCAATGATGTTTGGGAAACTAAACTAGAATCTGATGGAATATAGAAACTCGTAGAGCCCATTAAGTCATCACTATCCATTGAAATGATGGGGTGTTGGAAAGAGAGGGATACAATGAACATAGCATGATTCAAACATTGGGTCTTCCTCCCTCTTCACTGGATGGTGGCGGCCTCATGGATCATGGTTTACCCATAGCACATCAGATGACAATATGCATTCCCATGATATTTTATGTTGGTGTTGAAACCCAGAAACCTTAAGTGCACAGGGCTTCATGTGTTCAATACCAAATCATTTCATGCTTATGGTTTTCCCTGTCCATTTAGATATAAAAATTAATTTATCCATGTAATTATATTAGGACGGTTGCTGGAGTTCAATAGAAGGAAGTTTCACTGTGGTGCGAGACTTCACTGATTTTTGCTTCCACTCTTACTTCTCATACATGGATGAACTACGCGAAAAGATGCACGATGATGAACAGCCCACGGATATCAAGTATGAGGTTTTATTTTGCAGATTCTTTTAATAATAGTTTAACCTTGTAAAATATCTTTTACTGCAGCCTTTACTAATTCTGCCCCTCTTAACTTGAATTACTTACAAGAATGATAATGGTTGACGAATAACATGCAATAAATATGGGCCTTAGCTTTCTATGTTATTTCTTGTCGTACAATGGTAACAAGGAACTTAGGGAAACCGCAGGAATAAATATCATCTTGATAGACTGTGTTTATTGCTTATTTTTGTTAATGCTGATAATTACTTATGCATTTTTCTCACCACAATTTAGGAGTGTGTATTGTTAAATTATTTACTATAATTGAGCTATCTGATGGGAGCACGATGGAAAAGTTTATATTTCATATTTGCATTAGTTTCTTTAGCGTGGAGATTCGTTCATTTGTATTTTCCAATTTAGATACTTCTGATGTTATGCAACATAGATATCTCATGATACTTGCCGAAACTGAAGGTCACTGCAATATCAATAAGTATTGGACATCTGGAGTTGAGTTCAATTGGTATTCTGATTGTCTTCAAAAGCATAAAAACCTCTAGTGGACTCTGCTAGACAAAACATTATTTAAGGCTCCACCTTGCAATTTATGCGCAGATCTCTCCCCTGCATCAGACAGTCCATATTCCCCACCCCTGGTTTTACTAGTTGGGGCTTTCTATTTTATCGAATATTGCATGAGAGTGAGGTATAATTGTTGAGCGTGCTATATCACAGAAGGAATCAACAAATGATTTCCATTCTATCTGATATTCATCCATGTTTTTAAAGCTTCAAGGCAATGTATAATATGCTTGCATGTGCTGACAGCTTGTAGATAAGGATCTTAGAGAATAGGATTGTATATTTATATGTTACAGTATCATATTGAATGTTTTGATTCCAATCAGCTGTCTCCTCTTTTGGTTTTCCAATATGTGTAATGACTCTATTTATTCTGGAAGGCTATTGGAGTTGCCAAGTTGTTTGCTGGTTAGCCTTCTATCTGTCGTCGTTGATGTTCCGATGATAACACTCGTGGCACTGTCGAAAAGCCCATACATGCTCTTTAAGGGATGGAAAAGACTATTAGAAGATTTGATTGGAAGGGAAGGGCCTTTCTTGGAGACAGTTTGTGTACCTTTTGCTGGTCTTGCCATTATTCTGTGGCCATTGGCAGTTACATTAGCAGTAGTCAGTGCGTTTCTTTCGAGCTTCTTTCTAGGCCTCTATGGTGGAGTTATTGTCCATCAGGTTCACTCCATTACCCTTACTGGAATGGAGTCCTCATATAGATTAATCCTATTTTATATGTGGTCTTCTTTTTCTTGCACATGCAAAAAGACATTGTTCTCTTTCTTCTTCTTTGTAGGTGGGTTTTATCAGAAAAAGTTAGAATATTTACTTTATCTTTGATGGCATCCAGGAAAGCTCACTACAATTGGGACTGGCATATATTGTAGCAATTGTCGCCGTCTTTGATGAGTATACCAATGATTTATTGTTCTTGAGGGAAGGGTCCTGCCTCCCAAGGTACTCTATGTCCTCATTTCACTATTCATGAAGCATCATTTATATTAATTTGTTCACATGACTGAAAGAATCTGGTTATTAATTAATTGTGATGTGAAATCCAGGAGATTCCTACTCATCACTTTGATAATTTGAACTTGATCTAGATATAAAAACGGGGGAAATCTTAACAAGTTTATTTATGTATTATTGTTTAAATTTTTTTGGTGATTGATGGTTATTATATATCAAAAAAAAATTGATATGGATGCATGAATCTAATGTCTTATCTATTGGTGCTTATTGGAAGTTTCACTTTCAATTTTTGTATTACCATTTATTGATGGTGAGCGTTCCAAATCGATATGTGGAGTTGCTATATTGCTTATTTAGATATTATAGTAATAACTTATATGGAGTATTGTATATAAGACTATAATTTCATATTGAATGAACTAAAGTATGAACTCTTTTGTGGTTCTAGTATTCATAGACACTATCATCCTTATCTCCCACCCTCCAAAGGGCTCGTGTAATTGAGGAGTAAACTATATCATCAAAGGGCTCGTGTACTTGGACCTACTGGTTGATGGGGTGATGTGACGAAGGACCATTCATGTACAGGGGGTCCTTGACCTGATTATGTCCATTTAATCTAAACTTAAAATGTTGGGAATGAAAAATTGAGTTCCTAGATTATCTGATATTTTGGCAATGTGAATATGGCCTTCATTGGAAATGTTGGAAATCCCTAAGCTTTTTCTTGATCCAAAATTTACCTAGTTTTGCATTTGCAAGCATCTATATTTTGTAGAGTCTTGCATTGAACTCAATAAGCTTGGTACTTATGACAGCCAGGCCCAAGTATCGTAAACATACAAACCCTTCTTCTGGGCCACTAGAAAGAAATACTTCTATTGAGATGCAAATGAATGAACTCAAGAATGGTAAAGTTGGACCTGGTAAAAAATTGGTTTCAGAACGATCAAGAACGCTGAAGAAGGTTATCCAAGAGCTTAGGCCTATGCAAGTTAGTATCGTTGAACTTTGTTGTTTCTCAATACTCTTTCTCTATCTGTATTGGATTACCATGAAGTTTTATTTTCGTATTTTTTAGGTATGGGACTGGCTCTTTGAGTCTGGTGGGCTTAATGGGGGGATGCTTCTCCAAGAAGGCTTGATTACTGTTGAAGACATTGAGGAATGCGTTCGGGGTGGGAGCTGTAGAAAATTGAGCATCAGATTGCCAGCTTATTGCATACTACAATGTCTTGTTCGATCGGCGAAATCTGATTCATACGGCTTACTTCTCAGTATGATATATTTCCAGTGTGTATATATCTCCTATTATATATATGTAAATTCTTTTTAGGAAGTATGCCATGAATCTGTGATCCAATCGTCAATCGAAAAACAAGTTTTTCAGGCTATTACTGTTCACTGAAATGATGGATGGTAATGGAAAGAGTAGGATCCATCACAACTAGGAGAAATCATCTCATGGTGGTCCCACACTTTGTCCACTATCCATCAGCTCAGAGGGCAGCAATGCTATAGCGGGCCAATGGATTACCGGATACCTAATATTTTTCTTATCTGCTGTCTTTTGTGGTAATTCCTTTTTCATTCAATGATGAAAAAGTACAGATGATGAAGTAGAGTTGACAAGCTACAACTCACCAAAGGACAAAGTTTATGAATGGTTTCTTGGTCCATTGCTGGTCATGAAGGAGCAAATCAAAGGACTCCAGCTAAATGAGAATGAAATAGCCTGCCTGAATAAGCTGATTATAAGTTACAAAAATGAGAGGGTTGAAGATTGGGAAAACTCTGGTTTCCCTTCTGAGGACAAGGTCAGGATAGCTCAATTGCAAGCCCTACTTAGAAGGTAAGATGAACAAATTCTCCGAAGATAATTTCATATGATCAGTGATTCTTCTAATAAGTAAGGTTGACTTGATCATCTGTGGTATGTTTGTAAAAGTTCCATCCAACTACACATAAAAATCACTGAATATGAATGCAAAAACAGACATGTAAACACATACCCACGTGCATTTATACATGCTTATGTACACGTAAATATCCCAACATTTGTTTGTCTATACAAAGCTAGATGCTTGTATGCCTATATTGAGCTATATATTCCTTCTTATGTGCATCAACGTTGTATGCGCATATTTATCCATTTTTACCAACCACACCATGATGACCCTTGTATTGTTCTTGTGGTTTTTGGATGTGTTCTGAAAGATGAAAGGTGTGCTTGAATGTTTCTAAGCCGAATTGCTGCTTCTTTCATGTGTGTAAATGATTGTTCATTTCATTGTAATTCCTTTCTCCATTAAATAGACTGCAGGGAATTGTAGCCTCAATGTCAAGAATTCCCACATTCCGGCGTAGGTTTCAGAACTTGGTGAAAGCACTCTATCAAGAAGCAACAACAAATAGAGAAAATAATTCAACAGATAACGGTTCCATGTCGTCAAACCGTGGAGCCATGCGCGGCAAGCGCAAGATGAATGGATCCTATGAAAAGACCAGAGGAAACCAGGCATTGGAAAACAAGGTGAATAGGAATTCTGTAGAGTTAGATTCTATTGTGTGACTCCGTGGAAGTATTGTAAATGTGAAATATGTAGATAATTTTCACCATCTGTCATACCAGCATGGAAAGTGAATTTTCCATAATTCAGTATTGTAAAAATGAAACTGCGAAAATATGTTGTAAAACAAATCTTATTTTTTCTACCAAAACTTGTAACCTCACTACACCCACTTGTAAATGTCGCGGATGCTTGAGCTACTTGTTTTATGTGATATTTTTGAGTTGTTTGTCTTGTTTAAATGATTTGGTTCATGCTTGTTATTGTGGTTTTGCAGCTGTGAGCTTCCTTTATCATAAACATTCATGTGAGGATATTGACTTTTGATAAATTTATCAAAATACTCATAAATAAGCCCGTGTGTTTTTTATGGGTATTTTGAAATCAAATAAAAAAGTTATGGGTAAAGTGTTAAATTGTTACTCTTCTCGGTAAGCTGATAAATTTCCCTTTTATCTTTTTTGGTTGAAGTGTGAGGGCACAGGATTTTCTCAATGAAAAATTATGAAAAATAAGAGACATGCTGAACATAAAAATTACGAAATATATTTTAAATACTATAAAAAATACTTTCAATACTGTAAAAAAGATATTTCTAAAATTTTTCCAAAACATTATTGACGTTCCTCTCTCTCCCCCTCTGTATTTCTCATAATCAACCAAACCATACAACTTAAATGGTCCAAATAGTTGAACCATGGGAAGAAATGCCGCTTATTCATACGAAGGGCTTCAGGAGGCGAGAGGGACTGGGTCTCATATCAAAATTCATAGGATGGGCTTCAGGGGGCTGGGTCCACATAAAAGGTGCGAAAATAACTAATCAATTTAGTACTTCAGCCAATTTGGAAGAAAAAATTTATATGGGGTTGAGCCCTATGCAATCAAGTGCACTTCAAAAATTTATTAGAAGAAATTGTTCCGATGCTGACAAATTCTCAAATTCAATCATTGAGATACATGGGTGTAAAAAAAAATGTATCAGTTTTGAAAATAGTGCATCTTGTAATGCATTGTCTTAGACCGACTTTCAATTAGAGAGGAAACTAAATTTTGGATTGAAAATAAATTTTGAGTGTGGTTTGTATAAAGCTGAGACCCTAAAATACTAACTAAAGTAGGGTGCACCTTGAAGATGTTTCAAAAAATTTATTTGATGGTCTGAAAATTTATAATTAAAAATTTAAAACTTTAAAAATAGCCTAGATCAAGCAATCTATGCACACTTGATAATTTAACAAATTGACAGTCCAAAACATACATTACAAGATGTACTATTTTCAAGACTTAAAATCCATTTTGTCTAATGTATATACATTTTGAGGTCGAGATAATGGTGAGCATCAAAATAACCTCTTCAAGTGACTTTTTGAAGTGCGATTTGATTGTTCAGGGCCTCACCTTTAGACAAACTTTTTCCATCAATTTTTAGGCCATCATAATTATTCTCGGTACTCAAACGATATCTTTTGACATCATTTGTAGGTGCGCCTTTGATTATGTAAGGTCTCATCTTTATAAGTATCACACCTTTTTTAAAAATTTAATGTAAATAAAGTTTCTATTTACTTTATTTATATATAAAATTTTATTAAAATAATTAAAAACGTATCAATTTATTTTATTGCGTTATGATATAACCATCCTTACACTAAACTTTGAATTCTCGCAATTTACTTAGTTTACTAATGATGAGAGAGTAGATGGTTTGACATTCTAGGAAACAGAATAAATTGGACTTCACACTGAGACAAGAAATTACACGTATCATGATTCATCGCTTTCATATGTAACGGTAGCCATAAGTTACAGTAGATAAAAAGTTTTTAACAATAACCTATTGTGCAATACAACTTTTTAGTTTTTGAGCATGCATATGCCGTAATTGCTTTCTAACTGTTGATCAGCTGTTACTTTAACCCTTAGATAGTTAAATTTATTTTTTAATGTGTATTTTAGGTAGTTCAGCGTTCGGAATCGAACTTGCGAGAGTATGCAATCATCAACAACAGATGCAGCTGTTTGGAGAATGCAAAGAAAACTGTTCAATCCTTAAATTTATACTAATGGGAACCAAATTTACAATCACTCACATAAATTCATAAAATTCTGACCAGTCTTGATAAATTCTCAAAGAAAATCTGAAAACTAGACAAAAAAAAAACTACAGTTATGTTCAGTTGGTTCCAGTTTTTACACATTTAGGATATGAAGAAATTCTGAGACAGCACTGCATTAGCTTCTTTTTTATTGATCAGTAACTAGGCCTGAGGCAATAACTTACAATAGCATTAGGAACAACTATATACGTCTTCTCTTAAAACAGAAACCAAAATCTGATACCCAATTTCCTCCAAGTTCTTTTATATACACCAGTTTCAAAACACTTTCAAAGTCCTAGCTACTTTTCCTATTCCGTCTTTAGATAAGTAACGATTAAGAAAGAAGTGTGAAGTGGCATGGAGTAACTAGTGGAATAGAAAAGAGTCGGGATAGAAACAAAGTACGGTCCTCCTCTCCCCAAGGCGAGAACATCTGTTTCCCCAAATCCCAAGATTCCTAGAGACCACACCAAAAGATGACTCCAAAACAGACTAAAATTATAAACTGATGCATTCAATTAAAGGATAAAAAGGGCCAAAAGGATTGAACCCAGAGATAACAAGCATGGGCTTCCAACCTAAATTTAACAGTATGTTCAGTATTACGAGGAATGAATATGCTCGGTATTTACGAGGAATGAAGTATACCAGCTGATTTGATTGATTTGAACTGATACCTCCTGGTCCACATGACTCAAAGCCAGAAAAAGCTCAATTAATTAAAATCATGTTAAACTGATGGTCAGAACTCACTGATCACACCAGCCATATCTGGCTCCTTGACCAGTCCAATCCAGTCTTGGAACAATGAAAATAAAACTATACAAATAGCTAACATCTCAATTACATCCCACACATACATATATATGACTACATTCATCCTAAATGCATGTGTACATAAAATACAAGACACTGATACACATACACATGTACATGTACATGCATCTGTGTGTGTGTTCTTTTAATCATTGATATTCATGATTTAACCAACATATCATCATATTTAAGTAATCTTCGTACAAGTTTAAATATAACATAACATATTCAATAATCCCAGTTAAGAACGGAGTTATGTGCCTCAAGTTTCTGTCAGTTGAATCAAATCAGCCAAGATTGCAAAAGAAAGGACTGCTTTAGCATAACCAACATGGGAAATAAAACCTAATTCCTGTGATTACCCAAGTTGTTTTACAATTATAAACATGAAACACAGTCCACATCCACAGACAACTCAGCATATGACTAAAAGTAATCAATGGATAAAACACAGCGTTTTTTGGCAAACTTATTCATATTGACTCCAGGGCTCCATTGTAATGGGAAGAAAAAAGACAATTATATTGACCAATATTGCAAACGAGGAATGATTCTATCATCAACATGTTTAAAATCAAAACCAGAACCAGCCTCCAATATGATGATTTGGAGATATTATGATGCGAAATGGGGTGCGGCCAACAGCTATATGTGAAAGCTCAACAAACATTTTGAATTCATTCAAGGTAACTTCGCCGATATTGTACCTACAACTGCTTACATGCATCAGGTTTATATGTGAACAAATGGAATGCATCCTATCTAGCAGAATGATGCCACACATGGTTAAATAGTTTCCACACACCCATATGTATTTGGTTCATCTCCATATGTCCCAACTGATCGTAATATCAACAGATCATTACAATCATACTAGCCATATGCAAGTATAAGATAAAATTCACGCATTTCATGTATGACCCTTCTGAAAGATGACTTAAATCAAGGGACGAAGACCCTTCATTTGCAAACTTGAATTACATTCGCCAAGATTGCAATATAAATTATCATTTTTACCATCATATTTTGAAATCGAACCCCAGTCATTACTGTGATTTCCTGGAGAATCATGATAATAGGAGAGGTCCAATGCAGTATGGCACCTATGTTACAAGGACAAGGATACAAGAATCAGTAAAGAATCCAACTCAGATGCCTATATTTTATTAACTCCAGCATGACACATTCGTAGAAGTCTGTAGAATTGCAACGCGTCTATATATATTCATATCTAAAATTAGATTGTGACATTTTAGAATAAATTAAGTTTATAAAAATATAAATGTGCGTCCAAATTAAAGATACAAGCATCAAATCATAAGACGAAGAGACCTACATCTTACAAGTGTATCATACAGTGTGGAAATGAGTCTCTTGCAAAACAGACACACATGTCCATTTTCTTCTATCTGTGGACTCACGTGTCCATGTTGCAGGCAATGCATAAATGTTGCAGGCAATGCAGTATTTATGAATCCAAAAAAGGAAAATTTCTAGGCATGTATGTCAACATGGATTTCCCTCATCTGTATGTGTGTCAACATGCGTGTCTAGTGTGTAGGTGTGTCAAAGTCTCCTAAATGCACCAACCCTGTCACTGTTACATAGGCTAACACCGATATGTACACAGACATATATATTTTTTATATAAATTTATACACACACATATACAAATGGAAAATATCCACCATAGAATTTCTGTGATAACAGAATTGTCAAAGTATCAAAGGAACTGCTCTGTTACAACAACAATGTGGTTCACAATGCTTGATTCCTCATTCACATTTACTACTCTCATAAGGGACTTAACAATACATAATAAAATCCATTAAAACGTCTTGTTGATAAGTTTCCACACTTGTAATTATTACTTTCCCTCCGATGATGCACTTTTAATCATCACATGGGAAACAATTGTTATCTCATCAAGTCAATTAATAGCAGTCATTTATTCATAAGCCTAACATAAATAATTCAATCCATACATAAACGAATGTAACCCTCAACTATCAAATAGAAAAGGAAAGAGAGAAACAGAACCAAAATCTTTGGATACCTCTTTATTCTCTTTAATGAGAGCCACAGTTCATTTCAACTTAGTTTTCAGAAGGAGTCTTTGCCACAATGGAAAGAGCATGTAACCCACTGTCTAACTCCTCTTTCAATAAATCATAAACAAGCCTATGGCGCTTGATCAAGCTCTTACCCTCAAACTTATCAGACACAATTCTCAAATTAAAATGGGTTTCCCCACCCTCTCCCTTTGCACCCATATGACCAGCATGTTGATAAGAGACATCTTCCACCTCCAATTCAATAGGCACCAATTCTCTCTCTAACTTCTCTATTATTCTCTCTCCTCTTTCTGATAAAACGGTAAAACCCATTTCGTTTTCATGGCTCTTCACATCAGCACTTTCACTAGGCTTCTCTGAAACTTCAATCTGTTGGGCTTCCACCGAAGACCCATTACTCCCTAAGCTCCTCAACTCCTTTTGGTCCTCACTTTTCTCTGATTCAATATAAAGTTGCAGAGCTTTCCTTTGCATCAATTTGAACATATTGAGAAACCCATTATTTCTTGATGGTGATAAGCTCTGGTTAAGACCCATAATGTGAATAAAATCAGGTGAAATTTTCACAATTTCAGGAGGTGAGTTCCCTGAAAGCCCCTCAACTAAAAGAGCAGCAAGCCCCTTTGTCAAAACTGCATCAGAATCAGCTTCGAACCAAACATTCTTACTATCATCAAGGTAAGCTCTGACCCATACTTGAGAAACACACCCTTCTACCTTGTTTTCCCTGGTTTTGAATTCATTTCCAAGTGGGTTCAATTTCCTACCATAGTAGAGCAACTGTTCATATTTGGTTCTTGGATCTTGAACAGATTGGAAGAGTTCTACAGTGTTTTTGAGCTTGGGTGGGAGCTCCTCTACAGCTTGCATGGAAATGGGGGAAAGTGAAACTGAAAAATGCCTTGATTTGGGTTCTTTTCTAAGAGAAATCAAAGGGAAAACGCATGAATTGGAGTTTAAAGACGAGGGGGTTAATGGTTTTGATATGAATTGAATAGAGAGAGAAAGGGTTTTTCGGGTGTAGAGAGTTGGGGTGATATTGGGGGAGAAAACACGGAAAGAAGAGCAAATGGACATGGCTTTTAGAGAGAGAAAGGGATTGGGTTATGAGAGTAGAGAGATGAAATACCTCTCTTGGATCAGCTGGGAGCGCAGAATTAGCGAATGCAGAGGTCTAGAGAGAGAAAACCCATGGACCTGCAATGGCTTGAGTCCGGGTGTCCTCCAAATAGTGAGAAATGTAAAGTCGGTATTTGATGAGAGCACAAGTACACGTTGCTCCCGCAAGAGCATAAAATTTTCCTGCGGGGGACAAAGCGCATGCTCCTGTGCTCCCTCGGGTGTGGTTTTGTACTTTGTATGTGGCCCTAAACGAATGTGCAAATCAATGGTTTAAAAAGCGGATCGGTGATTCGGATTGGGCATCTCAAAAATCGATTCGGATTGAGAATCGGCTGAATCGATTGGATTAAAGCTTCAAAAAAATCTGAAAAAATTATTAAAATTCATTATAAATGTTATTTTTTAAGAATCCAATAAAAAATGAGGGTACTACATTATTAATTTTCATTTTTTTTATCAATTTGTGAATATTGAGATATTCTTTCCCTGTATAAATTTATTTTAACTATTAAATTTGCATCATATAAAAGAAAAATCATAGAATTATCATGGATAAAATATATAATTATATATGGACTATTATAAAGAGTAGACTAATCAATGAAAGAATGGCTATTAAAATCTCGTTTTGGCGAAAAACCCTAACCCGTTAAAAAAACCCAAACTATTACAGCCTAACTAACTATAATCCAAAATTATTACAACATCACTAATTATAATATTATAGGTTGAAATTATAATTATTAGTTTACATTTTATAATTATTTTATTAGATAAATAATAATAAATTAAAAATATTTTATAATATTATCTAATTTAAAGTGTATTATTGACAACTGTAAGAAAAATAGTACATCACATGATTTATAATGTAAAAATTCATAAATAAAATAAAATATTTGGTTATCAATGTAAAAATTAATAAAATGCGTACAAATTTTGGAAATAGCACTTCAATTTTTCAAAAATTTATTTTTTTAGGTTTCTATAATAAATTTAGTAAAAGAAATTGTTAGTAGAAAGATGGAGATTTCAAATAGAATAAACTTTTTATTTTTATTTTTTTTATACCTTTCATATTATTTACAAAAATAATTATATCATTACATACAACCAAAATTAACTGTTATATAAAAAATTAATTTTTTTATTTTTCATTTTTTTATGTCTTTTATATTATTTACAAAAATATTTATATTTATACCAACCACTATATACACAACAAAAATATTTATATTTATACCAATCACTCTATATAAAACAAAAATGCAACACATGCCCAAGGGGATTCGAAAACAACAAAAATATTTATACCAACCACTATATACACAACAAAAATGCAACACATGCCCAAGGGGATTTAAATGCAACACATGTCTAAAGTAAAAAAATCAAAGTCATAACCATCAAGCCATCTAACTACATGTGATTA